GATAAATAATCATTTATGCATAGGATTTTGTAAAATTGAACATGTGACAAGGTTTATTAGTAATGTTAAATGTCATGACACAGAGATAATACCTCAGTCTTGTGCTGAAGGCAGCTGGAAATTCATCGGCTGGAAGGTGATCTCCTGAAAGAACTCGGTTGCCAGTTGCCTAACACGTACAGTATTACCAGATGCCCATAAGAATAACTCTCACCAGGTTCAGTGCTTTGGTGTTCCCAACAGCCTTTCTCCACAGATGTCACTACTGAATTTTGACAGGGGAAGGAATTAGATTGATAGCTTTTTTCGTTTTTGTAAAGCTTTCAGTAAAACACTACATTCACAAGAGGAAATGAAAAAGGAACAAATTGAAACTCTATTTGCTGCCACAGAGGGCCCAGGAATCATAGAAGAACTTCAGAAATGTAGAGGTACTCTTCATCTTGTCTTCCGGAAAACAGTTCCACACTGTGAAGACAAAAATCAGTACAATCATCTGAAGATGAGGAAAGAAAACTGCATGCTTTGTCTGTACCATAGTCACCGTGAAATACCCCCAAGGCTTTTCCTACTGTACATAGTTCTAGAATCTCCCTTAAATGACTTTTCTTCACCTTTTATTATTTCTTGTACTTCTTAATGTATAGTGTAATAGTCTTTGTTAACTTTCTTTCTCCCTTTAAGTGATTATGCACGATTGTGATCCCTTTGCGTTAAAAAAAGTTTTTGATCTGAGAGAAGCCGTGCCTTAAAACAGCATTCATGACAATGCACAATCTAGCTCTTGTCTGCCTCTTCTGTATGTTGCTCTTGTAAATGCTGGTAATCTGTGAAGACCTGCAGATGCAGTATGTTAAAAATGCAGGAAACGTTCGTGCTTCTAGTTCACTCAGGACACTGATTTTTACGGTGGGTGACACCTGGTAATATTCTGCCCAGCAAACAAAAGCAGAAGAGAAATTGAGTCCCACCCCCAGCATATCTGCATCTGTTAGGCTTGCTTCATTTGCTGGGCATCTTTAAAATTCTCCAGAATTAAAAATACTGGGACTGGGAGGGAGAGGGACATACTGAGTACACAGAATAGCAGCAATAGCAGAAAACATTAGTATGGTCATTGTTGGCAGCTAGTTCTTAAACCTGATTTGGTGGAGAATAGCAATAATTAGAATCATTTGAAAGACAGCCTGGAAAAGAGAAAACAAGCAGACTTGAAGCCATGCCAAGCATCTCTTTTTTTCATGTCCTTGTTTCTAAGGAAATCTATTCAGGTGATTAGGAAAACTTTTAATAGAAAGCAAGATCATGGTTTTATTTTTTATTTTTTTATTTTGCTCTCTTGCATACTACGTAAATGATATGTCATCTCTCGGGATGAGGTGAGAAGAAGCAATGAACAGCAAAATTCTGCTCAGAATTAAGTGCCATTAAGTTCAGTGAGACTTACTGCAAGGTAAGTGGATATACTATTGCAGCCTAAATGTAGCGAGAGACAAAGTAGACTGTCACCCACTGTAAATATTTGCCAGTGGACATCTTCAACAGCAATTTTACAAGTGGTCTTATGAAAATATACAAATGCCTTTGTTTTAAAGGCTTTGTAATTTTTTAAATATGGGAATTAAATTAGTATCCCAAGTAATCAGTCGGTAAATCCAAAGTCCTTGAATTGAATGCATTATGTTATTAAAAAAAAGAAGCTTTGTTTTTCAGCTTCATCTGCAGTTCTATGTGAAGATTGATAAATGAATTTTTACCTGTTTTATTAATAAAACATAATTTGGATATCTTGAGTTGATGGTTTTGTGATTTAGGTGGGTTAACTGTCTTTGTAACAGATAAGTTATTTATAAAAATTAAAAAATATATTGTAACATCTGTTTTGTGTCTTTTTAACTAGGAAATAACATGTTTTGCTGTGGATATTAAATAATTGGTCAGTTCTAGGATACACGATGATTCTGATTTCAAATTCAGACCATGAAAGCTCTTTATTAGGTTTGAAATCCATAGCCTAAAAGCAAATCTAATGTTTGTTCAAATGTTACTATAGGTCAGTGGTGGCGAACCTATGGCATGCCTGCCAGAGGCAGCACTCGGAGCCCTCTCTGGGCACACGTGCCGTTGCTCCAGCCTTGCCTCCCCCCGCGACTCCCTCCTCACCAGCAGCCCTCCTGGAGGAGAGTCGCCCCTGAGTGTGGCCCACGCAGAGCAGTGCAGCCAAGGACATGGCAACCAGGCAAGCGTAGGCAAGACTCTGCCCTCACGCCCCATCGTGCATAGTTGATGCTGCGGGGCGTGGACAGAGCGTGGCGCTGCTGGGCTGCCTGGGTGATCTGCAGTGGGCCCTGGAGGCGGTGAGTGGCCCTGCGGGCAGGTGGGATAGGGCTGGAGCAAGGGCAGGCAGGGGGTGGAGCGGGGGCGGGGCCAGTTTTTGGGCACTCAGTCTCTAAAAGGTTCACCATCACTGCTATAGGTACTTTTAAGGAAATAATCTGCTCGGTATCTGCAGTTGCTAAGATGTAACCTTAGTAAGCATACTGGCACAATCTTTGATTGCTTATTTTTATCTGTTATATATTAATACAGGTAGTTCCCAACTTACAACCATTCATTTAACAACTATTCAAAGCAAGGATGACTTCGGAAAAAGCAATTTACAACCTGTCCTCGCACCTATGATCGTCATGCCACCTCTGCGGTGACATGATTGCAATTCAGGCACTTGGCAACTGGCTCACACTTGCAACCAGTTGCAGCATCCTGCAGTTTCATAATCACAGTTTATTACCTTCCCAGCCAGTTTCTGACAAGCAATGTCAACTGGAGAAACTGGTTTTTGTTAACAACTGCATGATTTGCTTGTCGAGCATGAGATTCACTTAACGACTGCAGTAAAAAAAGGGTCAAAATCTGGTTTTTGTCATATGATAACCCACTTTACAACTGCACCAACATACAGCGGAAATTCTGGCCCCAATTGTGGCAAATCGAGGACTAGTTGTATGGAAATTATAAATGAATCACTTTCTTTGATTAGTAAATTCTTATAAGAATCAGCCCTGTCTGAGGTAAATGACAAATTTAAAAAATTACAGAATAACATTTCAAAACAAGAACGTTGTAGGGAATATAAAAGCACATGGACTCAGCCAATAATACTTCACATGTGTCTACTATTTATGCAATATGTTAACTTTCTAACAGTGGGTAAGTTGCTGTTAATTGTAATAGAGACCAGGCTCCATTAAGTCATAAGTTGAGAACTACCTGTAAGATACAGGATCTAGAGTAGGGGTAGTCAACCTTGGCTCTTTTATGACTCGTGGACTTCAATTCCCAGAATTCCTGAGCCAGCTTAGCTGGCTCAGGAATTCTGGGAGTTGAAGTCCATGAATCATAAAAGAGCCAAGGTTGACTACCCCTGATCTAGAACTTGGATATATGCTAGTACATCTTTTTCTAATGGGAGGGGGAAGTTCCCATTGGGAAATATAGCAGGAAGAGAAGGGATCTACCGTTATATTTTCCTCCTAGATGTATCTTGTCCCTTCAGTAGCAATCTAAAAACCAACCCACCAATGCATTAGCATTTCCTTATGTGTCATAACTTGGTTTATTTGACAAAAGAGATACACTAGATGTAATTGGGTTATTTATTTTTATTTAAAAGAGCTGCCCTTCACCTTTCCACAAATAGGTCCTCCTGGTAGCTTCTATATTTATTTTGAATTCAAAAAATATAATTTGTTTGCACAATTCTCCCACAAGCAGACAATAAGTAAATTAGGAAGCAGTTGCAGAATAAGCCATTAACAGACATTATATTCCATCCACAGCTTCAGGAATATAAGGAAAAATTAATTGGCACTTTCAAAAACAAGTATATCAAGTAAAATACATTTTTGTTTATATTAGCATCAGCACTTTGGACTAACCCTAAAAACAATATAGAAACCTGTGGAGATTTTTTAAAAAATATTACCGAAATATATCAAAATGGAGGTTTTTGGATAACAATCCAGGTATCTCCCTGTATTGGATCAGTTGCAGTTTCTGAAAATACCATATTCAAGGATAGTCCAGTAAATAACAAACTAAACCAATCTGAGGGAAGAAGTATTTGTCCAGGAGGTGATTCAATTAATGCACCAACCAAAAGGTGTGGGGGGAGGGGAGGACTTGAACATATAAATGCCAACTGAAGGCCTATTTTCTGTGTTGACTATTAAGGAAAGGAGGTATAAATGTACATTCATAAGCCTAAAACATGGAGTCCAGCTAGTCAGAATGACTGAAAATGTATCCCTTGGTGATTGGGAGAATACTGTTGTCATTTGTGCCTTTGCTTTTCTACTGCAAGACTAGCATGTCAGAGCAGCTGGCAGTCCTTTACCGAACTTGGCTGCTCTGTTAAAAGACTCAGCAGTGACAGCCCTGCTTGGGAGACCACCAGGAAATCTCAGATCTGTTAGAAAAACATCCTGGAAAAAGGCAATTGCAAATAACTCTTATATTTTTGTTGTATTGTTGCCAAAAAAAACTATAAATAAGATAGTCCAGTAAATAACAAACTGAACCTACTCTACATGGTCATATCCATGTAGCCACCTGGACTTTACTTTGACCTGAGCGTAGAATAAATGTGTTAAACAGAAACCTAACCAAACATAGATTGAAAAAACCTTGCTCATGGTTTGATAAAAGAATAAGAAATTGTTGGGGAATGGTTAAATAGAAACCCATATATGAAGCTGAAGCCATCTAAGAAGATGTTTGTGGAAAGTGCCTGTAAGAAGGATCCAAATAAGACTATAAATCGGCTTAATGGATTGAAAGTTAGGATGTATCTGAGGGTGACAAAACAGGGCATAAATGTTTGAAACCAGTAAAAACATAAAATTTGTGCATGTGTATGTATCTATATATCTGTATCTGTTCTTATCAATTGATTTGCTGAGGTTGAATGTACCTTGCGTAATGAAGACATGAGATAACCTTCACCATGGTTTCCTATTAGGGTACCTACTATGCAGGTTCCCATGCTTCTTAGCTAATGGTATAAAATTTCTCACTATGTCTGTGTTGGAGGAAGTTGAGGCTTGGTTTTCCTGAAGATATGGGAACATAAACCTTAGGGGTTGCTGGACATTTGCTTTCTCTTGAGAAAATGGATTTTGAGCCAAATTCTGCTGAGACTCCACACCAGAAGGACAACTGTGTCTTCCGAGAGAGTTGGAATCTAACAAAAATAATTGGTCATAAGGTCTGGTTTGCAAATGTCCAATATAACCCATATCTCCATACTTGTTATATGAAAATATCTCAGCTGAAGAATCTATAGAATCCTGTTCTTCATTTGAGATCTGCCTTGCTAAAAAGGAAGGTGTTTGTAAGGCCTGTATTGCTGATGCCTGTTTTCTGCAACACCCCTGGAAGTTGCACATTTCTAAACATGGACAGTCCAAGCACCGGTTGTGATGAGACAAAAGTGGAGCCTGGCTGTACCTGAGATAATGATCCCTAGGGGGCTCACCTACTAGGGCTTCATATTTTACAGATCCTCCAAGTATATTTCCAGAATAAGTCCTGGCATTTAGAGAAGATGCAGCGAATTGCTCAGATACCGCTGCTGCATATCCAGTTTGACCATGTTGTAATAAAGTTAATGGAGCCTGGTGGTTGTCCTGATACATGTTTGTCCAGTTGTTAGCTGAATCCATCTGGTACTCTCCCATCTGTTGTGGGACACTCGTGTGAACTACTTCTGAGCTGAATGCTGTGCTGCTTCTGTTAATAGCACTTCTAGGACTATATAGAGATGATGGATGTCCATTCTTATTCGTGGGGTTTATTCCCGTCTTCTCTTCAGTCTTCTGACTGGATGAGTAGGTTTTTGCTTTGACACGGAGTTCATCAGCTACAGAGAGATGGTCCCAGTTCAGTCTTTCTGGGTGGTAAAATTTGCACTTGATGCCATATGTGCACTTTTTGCCTGTGGGAAGTAAAACGACTAGATAATTGGCTAGTATGGCTAGTAGGCATGGAAGCAGACCGGAGCATCTTATGCTTTTTAATTTTGTAAAAATAATCTTTCCATATACAGGTAGTCCTTGACTTACAACCATTTGTTTAGTGATTATTTGAAGTTAACGGTAGCACTGGAAAAAAATGACTTGGAGCCGACCCTCTCATGACCATCACAGCATCTCTGTGGTCACATGATCAAAGTTCAGGGGCTTGGCAACTGGTTTGTAGTTACAACAGTGGCAGAATCCCGGGATCACCTGATCACCATTCGCGACCTTCCCAGCCGTTTTCTAGTAAGCAAAGTCAATGGGGGAAGCTGGATTTACTTAACAAATGCAGTTATTTGCTTAATAACTGTGGCAAAAAGGTCATAAAATTGGACTTAACAACTGCCTTGTGTAACAATGGAAATTCTTGCCCCAATTGTAGTCATATGTCAAGGATTACCTGTACTTTGATTTTATACAAATACAGAATAATGTTGAGAAAAATTCTTTTGGGAAGTTACATCTTTGAATGTCTGGAGAATATAATTTTGCCATTGAATAAGCAAAACACGCCAACTAATCTTATTAGTGCCGTAATAGCAAGCCTCTCTTATATAACATTGTAATTGATGGTGGATAAAAGAATGTGGTATATAGAATGGGGCAGGAATTTTTTGCACTATTTATTAATTCCCACTGTGCAAAAGGGAGTGCAATATACTAAAATCTGAAATTTTACTACCATAATAGCGGGGGCGCCATAATAGCTGGGGGCGCTGCAACGGCCCCCAGCTCGAAGCTGTGCGGAGACGGATAGAGGAGCGGTGTCTCGGTTCCTAAGACCATTGGAAATATGTGTTTTCCGATGGTGTTAGGCGACCCCTGTGAAAGGGTCATTCGATCCCCAAAGGGGTCGCGACCCACAGGTTGAGAACCGCTGCTTTATATCCTTGTACTTTCCAGGTATGCAGAAGCATATAAAAATGCTTTGCCTAATACTTTGTATAGCCTTTGTATATTCCTACCTCCGTAGGGTGAAGTTTACTACATAGAAGGGAAAAAATGAGACGGGATTATTTAAGATTTTTCTTGAGAGGTTCACTTTGAGACTTCATGGCCATTTCTAGAGGTGCGCATAAAATGAAAAATGTGTTTTGTTTCATGCAGAAAACATATTGTTTAGCCAAACCATTCTGGGAGGGTTATGGTTTGATTTAGCCAAACTGAAACCTGGAACTTTTGGGTGTTTCTGTGTCAATAATGTCAGATAAGGTGGGTGCTTGTTCTCTTTTGAAAGATTTGTGGGTTCCAGATGTAAATATCTGAATGTGCAAATAATGTGCAAATTATCATGAACTATTGTTGAGAGAAGCCAGTGTTTTTAGTCTTGTTCTTTCTGTAACTGGTTTCATTGTAAATCTAGCAAACTAATGGATTAAGCATCGAACAAAACTTACCATAAGGACAGAGCTGCCATTTTGATTCAGGGAAAAGAGGTTTTTTGCTAAGAAAATTGTCAAGAGAAGGTCCGTGTCGGCCCAAAGGATCATCAGGTGGCATGAATCTAAAAATAATAACAGAAATTACTGAATCAACGTTCTCATGATTTTCTGACACGTGCTGAAGTTCGCAACCTATCTTTATATCTTTTAATATTCAAATAAATGTCCTCATGGAAAAAATACCTGCAAATATACATGCGAACTCTCAAACACGTTTTGAATATTTTTACATCTCTAAAGCCATCATAAATTAGAATATTGGAAATAGCAAATCTGCATGGGGCAAACCCTTTGAAGCTACAGATATACATTGCGTATTAAAACCAGTTAGTGATCACTCCAGCAAAATAAATGTGAGCTAAATCTGCCTGGTTGCCCATTTTCTGCATTTCTACCTCAGCAGGCAAGTTAGAAAGGTTTAAGATAACACCTGTGAAAACCAGTACAGTACTGATAACATATTATAATACATTGATTAATTAAGTATTGTTTAATTGGGGAAACTCAATTGGGGAAACTCAATTCAAGCTTCTATTCAATCTTTGAGCTCCCAAAGTGATTTTAAATGAGAAGGTCACTTTTGTTAGCCTAACTCACTTTATAAGGCTGCTATGTGGGTAAAAATGAGGACAGAACACATGTGCAGCAGAAAAATATGTGCCAGCCATGTCGAAAAGGGAACAAAAATTTGACTAAATGTATATGATAGCCACAGTCTCTATCAATTTTGCAAATTATATCTATATTGATTCAGGGTAGCAAATAAAATTATTTCCATAACTAAATATCCACGTTCTGATTTGTTTACCTTAAGTTAATAATTATTAATGATAATGATAATAATAATAATAATAGTAGTAATAATAATTTTTTTGTTATTTTTAGATCAATCTGGTTTTATTTCCTTGACCATATCCAAGTACTGTTTTACAGTTTGTACAGTACATTGTAATATTTGCTCAAATACTTTTTAGATATTTTACAGCAATTATATTTTTTTTCCTTTTTTGTTCTAATTAATTGCGGATTTTGTTTTTCATCTGCTGGTCTATGACAGAAAAAAGATTGATTGATTGATTGATTGATTGTCATGCTCCTGCTTCCGAATTTTAAACTTTAGTTCTTGCTCCTTGAAATTGCCACTTTTTAACATTAGAATTCAGCTAGAAATTGATGAAATCTTGTTTGCGCGTATACCAGACTCTTACTTGTCATTGACGAAAGAGTACATGAGCAGTCGCTGCTCAATGAACCATTTCCACGCAGGATTTTCATTCTGCAGATCTCGAAAGTTATCGTTGGAAACAATGACCCCGTCTTGCTCATAGGCCAATTTGACAATGTAGCGATCATCATAGCAGATCATTCTTTTGCCCTTTATTTTGCGGGATGGTGTGTAGATGAGAATTGCTTGCTTGGCCAAGCTTTCAAGGATATGCTGATCTAAAAATAAAAACGGGGCAGGAAAATGAACAAATACTACCACACACACATACAAAAAATTGTCGCATACAAAACTGGAAGATGGGTTTTACAATGATCAGCATTGCACAAGGAATCAAAAAACGGCTTGGTCATGTTTTCATTCAGAATACAGAATTAATAGAGTTGGGGGGGACCGTGGAGGTCTTCTCGCCCAACCCCCTGCTGATTCATCAAGTTCATGAATTTATAAAACACCATTTCGGTGCCCATTTAATTTGGAATAAATCCTAATGCTTTCCATTTAATTAGAATATGAACTGAAATGTAAATTATCTGGTTCATTGTGGTCTCCCAAATGTTCCTGAATATAAGTTCTAGACAACCTGGCCAATGTTGAGAGATGCTAGAAGTTCAGCAACATTTGAAGGATCACACATTCCCTGTTTAAACATTACTTGTTATGTTTATTTTATAAACTAATCCAATAAGCTATCTGTTATGTGCTCAAAGTTGGCTTGGAATCTATGATAACTCAACAACTGATTCTCACATCTGGGAGTTGAGCAAAGGAAAAAGCATACTTTTGGTAGTTTTTTGAAGTTATGGTTATTGGTAAAATAAATAAATAAATAACCAAGCTAGCTGTTTCTTAGACAAAAATAATAGGAACTTAAAGTTTGTTTAACTACAGTATTTGAAAACCAGTAGCTGTAGCAAAACTGATTGGGGTGGTTCTAATTGTGTTTTTTTGCCTTACGCCTTTTGTACTTCCATAGAAGCAGTGTTCTGATAAATATTTAATCTCATTGATTGCAATATGAGTAATTTACTGTATAACTGGGAACTAATACTTCATACTGAAAATCTGTTGGATTTGTTCATACCTGTAACAGGGGTATCAAATCGAGACTGTTCCTTTCTCCAAGATGGAACGAAAACTTTGATGTACTGGTGACCTCTTTGTTTGAACCAGTCTACCACCAGCTGAATTCCTAAGCATGAAAACACTTCTTTGTTTCCATGACTGGAAAAAATGAAAAGCGATTATTTTTGAATGTTAGCAAGTTCAGTACATTTTAATGGCTTCTGCCATATATCATATGCTGGATTTAAAGGAGTTCTTGTGCCTGGGAGCTAAAATTTGTGGCTAGTGGGAATGGCTTTTTTTTCTGTGAAAAAATTGATTTATAGTATTTCATTCTGTATTGAAAACCATTTCCTAGCTCAAAATGTGTCTAAAAGCATTTCTTTTTCTAACTGTTGTATAATTTCAATATTGATTTTGATGGAGGGATGATCAGTTCCAGGAAAGGCAAAATATGTCTGATGTACTAACATATCTGATTGCTCCTACCCATAACAACAATGGCATTTTGTAGATCTATCTTTTAAAAGCAAAGTAAAGGGGGAAGACTGTTATCTTTGTCTATCTCCCACACCTTTTTTGTTATGAAGCTTTTGGGAAGAAGGATTCAAATTAGATATTATATTGCATTCTACTGACCTAGAAATCTATCTGGATGCAGGGCCAAGAGAAAGATAGGAAACAAATGGATCTAGCAATGCAGTTATGTAATTAGATGTCTAATATTCAGGATTGGATCAGATTTGAAAAATCCCAGTAAAGTTCTTAGATGCCTGGCAGACTTCTATAAAAAAAGTGGGGTGTTTTAATCACCCAGGTATCAACTTATTAAAAAGGTGACACCTGGGTGGTTTGAATTTTGCCTGAAATCAAATTGTTGGCAGTAAAATTTATTTCAGCCTGAAGATATTTATTTGAAATGTAACAGGGAATATACTTAAGGTACTTGTGTATTCTGCATGAAGTAGACCTATTTTCTACCTATTTTTTAGTTATCTAGACTCTATCAGATACATTACCATTTCAAAATGCAGTCCACATCTGGGTTTTGAATGCTATGCTATGGCAACACCTAGAATCTTATAAAGAGCAGAATCTTACATAATTGACTTAAAATTATATTTAAATTAATTGCATATAATTAATGGGACTTTTCCCATATTCATTTATTCTTTTTTTTTAAAAGAAAACATGATACGATGGGAATTTGCATGTTGGACACTGTAGAGGGAACCAGAAAGAAGTAAGATTAGAGAAATAAATAACACAAGTAGATAAATGGAGAAGAGCACTTAAATTTGAATTAATAACCCAAAATGGAACAAAATACTTTAACAAAGGACAAAAGGAAGGTTATTTTTGAACAGTGGATCCAGAAGTTAATTGTAAAAATGACTGCCATTATAGATTTAAAATTACACTTAAATTAATTGCCCACAATTAATATGCTCTCTTCTTATGTATTCATTTATTCCATCCTTTTTTTTAGAATTCTCAGTTTAGGAACAGGTTTTTCACTGAAGCAGTTTGTATGCCATCTACTCCCTGGACTCCAGGTAGTTTCACATAAAATAAACAAAAATTTTGAGTGAAACACAGATCATGAACTTGTGACAGAAAGGAAGAGGCAGGATTTTTTCTTTTCTTGTCTTCATGGAACCTAACCAAACAGGCAATAATTTTAGCAATATCCCACAATTACATAGTAAATCTACTTAATTTCTTCTATATTGTAAAAGTATCTGTTCAAAAACTCTAGTAAGCTAATGATTATTCTACTTTGCATATTCTGAATATAGTTACTGCTTCTATTATATCTTATAGGGTAAAATTCACTTCAAGTCAAGTTTGACCTCTGATAGCTTCAAGGACATTTTAGTGTAGTTTTCTTGGCAAAAATATGAAAGTCATTTGCCATTGCTGGCTTCTGAGGTGTTTTAGGGCTAGGGTGTCCAAATAGAAACTAAATCAAACCCTGTTTAGGTGCTGCCACCTAGCTGAGTATCATATGTTATACACATTTTTCTCAATTGTGCAACAATTTCCTGTTGTTTACATATTTGCATGTACATTTCTCTAATCTAAAAAAAAAAGTTCTTTTCTGCAGCCTAGCGGCAATTCCAGTTCCTATGGCATGGACCAAGGGGAAATGCACGTAAACTTGCGATGGATGAAATCCATTGTTAGGTTATCAGAAGGTGTTGGTACCCTACTTGAATTTAATTCTACTGAGACTTTATGGTATATTTTGGTATGCAAAGTAACTAGAAGTCTGCTATTTACTTAGGAAGACAAACTCGTTATCTTAAGACAATTTGCCAAGATAGAGCAGTAGCCATTAATTGAGTAGTAAGCTAACCATAACTGGCTAGAGAAGGCTGGTATCGAACAAAGTGGTTTTCATTTCCTTTAGTTTTACCAACAGAGTCTTTACACATTCACTAAGCAAATTCACAGAGCTTTTTGATTGTTAAACATAAGAGCTTATTTACATTAGCATTGTTGTAATTGTCCTGTTAGATACATTTTGCTTGATATTGGAGTCCCTGATATCCCCTCCGGGGTTGCATTTTCTGTGTTGTTTAAGACAAATTATAAAATCCTTGTTGATTCTCACACACACACACGTTACTGCATTTTCCTGAGATACTGGGGACTCCTCTCTGAAGGGAAAGCAGCTCATTTGTATGGTTACCTATGCTGGTTAAAGACGTGAGTCAGGAATCATTTACTCCCAACTTTTAACAATTTCTTGATTAGGTGAACAGCATTACTCATTCTGAGACCATTAGATGTGTTGGACTACCACTCTCATTATTCTCAGCAGATGGGATCTTGCTGGTGGGGAATAATGAGACTCATAGTCCAGCAGGTGCCAGTTTGTTATTACTGCGAATATTTCAATTCATAAAAGCAAAACAACTCAAGGCAACGTACACACATTTTAAAACACATCATAAAAGCAAACAGAAAAATTAAAAGCCAATAATGTTATAAACAAAAAACTTAAGCTAGCAGTGTTGGTAACTTTACGTTGTGTAGATTTCAACTCCAGCATAGCTGCCTGGGAAATTTTGAGAGTTGAAGTTCCATGCATCTTAAAGTTGCCAAGTCTGAGAAACACTATTCAAGGGTACATCAAGGACACACAAAACTGTCATGCAAATCTGAGAAAGGAGCCGGGCATGCTGCCTACATAATCCAGGAACTAATGTAGTAGATAGATTGAAGTTTCACCTTAGAAGAATCCAGCTTTGTGAAACCCTTCCTTCAACATACCATGGTAATGATAGTGCCAAAACTTGCAGTTCAGTATAACTGGAGGGCATCTGATTGTGAAAGGCAGATTTGTGCTCAGTGGAGTGATGTGTACATGCATGCATCATTTATTATTTTTTGTTCTTTCTCCACCCCACCCCTAATATGTTTAAATGTAAGGTCACGGACTCTGCAGACACTTTTCTGTGCCACTCACCACACTGGTTTTTGTCATCAGGAGCTCTACAAAAAAACAGTGAAATCTATTGTCATAAAAAGGACTTTTATCTTCTCTTGAATTTTGTAATAAAATGGGCAGCAGAAATTTAACTGGCCTTGGGTGCAGATCTCCCCGAGATAGGATGCCTGTCAGTTTAGGAAACGTGCACAAGTGGATTTTGAAAAGAGAGCTTTTTTGCATCTATTTAGTCTCCTCAGCTACAATTTAGATAAGATCAGTTCACACATGAAATGTCCTTCCTGGGCCCCCTATTTGAATGTAGCACATCTTCATGCTGTCACAGCTCAAATACGTTAGAGAAGAACTTTATGTCATAAAAGTTCGAATGCAACACAATCACACCATTAATACTATGCCTTCCTGAAAAGAGGAGTGGTCTCACCCCAAGAACCCACAGTTGGATTCAGCATATTTTAAATATCCCATCTTGACCTGTAACATTCTAGGTCTGCAGAGCGAACAAAGACAACAAAATGGAAGGATGCTTGCCTCATTGCAACGTTGCTCCCATCGATTACAATAGGTCTCAAATGACCAGTTGCCTCATTTGGTTCCTCAGTAGAGCTCTGGGGAAATGGGAGGGGTCCAGATATTCCATGGGCAGCAAAATTGGGCTGAAAAATTTGTGTCCCATTCTCACTCTCCACAGGTCTCCTCCCCGTGAGAATCAATTCTTGCAGCAAATCATTCTCCGAAGCCTCTTGACCTAATTTCTCCAGCACTTTGCACACCTCCTCCTTGCTATAGCCCAACTTATGGAAGAATTCAAGCTTGTTCTGTTGGGCTTCCATGTTTGCGCCAAGATAGGAAATCCTGCAGAAATAGAACTTTCTAAATTGGAGAATCAGATGGTATAGCTGGGTGCAGGGAATAGTTGTGCTGCTTTTAGTCAGTAATGATCATCCAGTATAGCAACTGACAATATGTCCTTTAAAGAGAGAGAGAGAAAAAACAAAAATAATTATTTGGTGACAATGATAAATCAAGGAAGTGCCAATTAGAAGACAAAAAAAAAAACACCTTAGAGTAAGCAGTTTTTCTAATATAGAATGATTCATTGTTACAGAATCTAATATACTTTTTAAGAAAATTATAAAATCAAAGTATTGTTTATAAAATAATCATTATATCTCTACTATTTATATCCCACCTTTATTATAACTCAAGGTGGAAAACATCCAACACAACTTCCTCTCCTATTTTTCTTACAACAAACCTGTGAGGTAGGTTGGGCTGAGAGAGAGACTGATGCAAAATCACCCAGTTGGATATTATATATTCCAAAGAAATATCTATATAACTTTAATAAACATAATAAAAGTTTGTTTTCTATCCTTGAAGTGCATTGTTAAGCAAGCCCCAACATTTCCCAATATCTAGGTTTATATATATATAATATTGACAGATGTTCAGAGACAAAAAACTCTTGGGAAGATATCTATCTGTTCATATGATTCTCCGTTTTTCAAACTGGTGCTCACTGTCAGAATTTGTAACTTGCCTGATGATCCTGGAAGAAATAATCCTAAATCATTTGGAGACCCTCAAATTGTGCAGAGTTTTTGCTGCTTAGGATTCAGTCTCCTCAAGGGACAATTTATCACACATCAATATAATGCTTTCTAAATATTGGATAAAACAAAACATTTCTATTTAGATTTCTCTTGAGTTAAAAAAAAGCTCATGAGGATAAAATAGAGTCTTTGCTTTACCTGTCTCAGATTGTGTTAGCTCTCTTGACTTACCAGATGTGTACTGCCTGTCTTGAGATGTTCTGAGCATCAGTAATTCTCTCTTATTAAATATAACCTCTGGGAAACCAAAATCCATCAGAACATCAGGTATGTGCCTAAGATAGGTGTGCAAGAGTGACGTAGGCCAAATCCTGTGCATGTACATACGCACGCAGATGCTTGACTTCAGCCTTATCTCTGATTAAAACAAATGAAAAACAACTTCACCAGAGAGTTGCACTGTGGTTAGCAGAGGACAGATACCATCTCTTTTGCTGGTGAAGTAAATAACAAATGGTTAGCAATATACATTCTCCAGCGTTACTGAAAAAAAAAAAGTGTCATTGATAATTTGAGACCTGATTATGAGGTAGGTGGGAGACATTGCTTTGATTGCATGTTTAAGAACCATTGTGCAAAGAGAACCCGCAGCCCTCTAAATATTTTGAGCTTTAGCTTCTAGCGGTCCCGTGACTGAGTGGAGGGAAATTCAGAGCTATCATTCTGCACATCCTCTTTTCAAGGCAGAACTGTACTGCACTTCTAAATTTAGCTCATTATCACGTTGCATACCCTTTGAATTCGGCTAAATCCCGGACACATTTAACAAACAATCCCCCTCCATATTTTTTATTCACTTGTGTTACTTTTCTCTTTGTAAAGGGAAAACATTTTTTCTCAATGGTCAGGCATTAATGCAGGCCTCGCAATCATTAAACAAATTCATACAACCATTCCATAAGCAAACCAAAATGATATTTTTTCCCAATAGTTACTTCAATTAACATACTTTTTTTTGACATATTCATAGCATTTTTTTTGTGGAGCCCTTGGTGTTCTGGGACCTAGGTTGTATGCTTGGAGACATTTCATTACCAGAGCAGGTAACCTCTTCAGTGCTAAAAGGGAAGGGGAGGGGTTGCTCTCTCTTTATATATGGTAACTTGTTGAAGGGGATGTTATTTTCTCCCTGGTAGTTCCTTGATTAGGGTATCATTTACTGTTTGTTTGCTTGGTATGCAGCTGTAGTGTTACAGTATAAATATAGGTAAGTAAGTTATGGCCCTCAGGTATTGGTATAAGTTGCTGCCACTAGTACCAAAATATACAAAACATTGTGCTAGGATTTATTTTAATATATTGTGTCCTGGAAGGTTACATTATAGGGCAAAATTTGGAGTGGGCAATGTTCATTTTCACAACTGAAGAAAAAAACCTGATGAATGAGACTGATCTATGTGTAACTAGGTTCAGGGGTACCGTAATAAGGACATCTTATTCTGTAAGTTTTTTAGAATTCCATGTAACTCTATGGGCTGCTAACTAGACATCTTGCTTGCAATTTTGGAGGGATCAACCCTTGCCTTTAATATGCCAAGGAATGAATTTGTACTTGACAATTTTATTTCTGAATGTATGATCTATCACATGCTGCAGCACACTTGAAAAAGTGGTCAATTAAGGCCTTTGACTTAGTTTTGACTCCTGGCAGCTTCCTGGACTAGTTCCTGTAGTTTTTTTTGGCAAAAGTTTTCAGAAGTAAATTGCTTTTACCTCCTTTCTAGAGCTGAGAGAATGTGACTGGCCCAAGGCCACCCGGCTGGTTTTGTGCCTAAGTGGGACTAGAACTCTCATTCTCCCAGTTTCTAGCCTGGTGCCTCCACCACTATACCAAATTCACTCTATGCTCAATACATGTGTCTAAACAGAACTTAACTGCAGGTAAGTGATATGATAGAGTGGCCAGCCCATTACAAACCTTTGCTGTTTATTGAGTCAAACATATCTGTCTGTCTGCCTCCTTGTTTGAGAAGCATTTTATAAAAATTTGTAACTCCCACCCCACCCCATCTCCATCTCCTCTCTCTGTGTGTGTCTTCTTCTACACTGAGCATGTTCCAATCACCACTTCTCCATCGTTGGTCAGATTGAGCGGCTGTTTCTCCACCTGCAACTTTGGCACACGGGAAAGGGGAGGTATAGTTGTTTTCCGTCGGTCTCGGCTGCTCCATTTTATTTCCCTGGAGTCTCTCAACCTTCTGTGTCATTGTAGTCTTACACTCTGAAAGCAGGGAGGTGGGTATTTCCTATGCCAACAATTTCTATGCTTAAAATACTTTGCCTGCAAACATAATGTTTCCCTGATCTACTGACCTCCCTCTTGAATTATTTGATTCTAAAGATACACTTTGAAACTCAACATTAATTGAAACTCAACATTAAGAAAACCAAAATCATGGCATCCAGCCCTCTCAATTCCTGGCAAATAGATGGGGAAGAAATGGAGGTAGTGACAGATTTTATTTTCCTGGGCTCCAAGATCACCTCAGATGGGGACTGCAGCCAAGAAATTAAAAGACGCTTGCTCCTGGGGAGGAAAGCTATGGCAAATCTAGACAGCATATTAAAAAGCAGAGACATCACCCTGCCAACAAAAGTGCGTATAGTCAAGGCCATGGTTTTCCCAGTTGCAATGTACGGATGTGAAAGCTGGACAATAAGAAAGGCTGAGCGCCAAAGAATTGAGGCCTTTGAACTATGGTGCTGGAGAAGACTCCTGCAAGTCCCTTGGACTGCAAGGCATTCAAACCGGTCAGTCCTAGAAGAGATCAACCCCGACTGCTCTTTAGACGGCCAGATCCTGAAGTTGAAACTCAAATACTTTGGCCACCTAATGAGAAGGAAGGACTCACTGGAGAAGGGCCTAATGCTGGGAAAGATTGAGGGCAATAGAAGAAGGGGACGACAGAGAATGAGGTGGCTGGATGGAGTCACTGAAGCAGTAGGCGTGAACTTAAATGGTCTCCAGAAGATGGTAGAGGACAGGAAGACCTGGAGGAACGTTGTCCATGGGGTCGCGATGGGTCGGACATGACTTCGCAATTAACAACAACAAAAGATACACTAAACAATCTGGGCCCCAAAAGCCAGCTCTGGGTACTCCTTGTGTTCCAATATGAACCCAAAATATCATTGTTCTAGGCAGAAGTGATTCAGAGAAGGAGAAAAGGGAGAGATTAATGGTGGCAGTAACAGGAAGAGAAGGAAGGACAAGTGCTGGGAATATCACAGGTGGGCTGGCCGGTAGGATATGCCTTGTTAGGAACGTATTCTTGTTGAGACCTTTGTTAGGCTAATACATCAGTGGTAGATGAAGGGAGAGAAGGGAAGGGCTAGAAAGATTGGGAGAGGGAGAGGGTGCTGGAATAAGTTTTCTCCCTGGAGCCATGGAGGGAAGAGGAAGGGTAATGAGAACCAATCTTGACTTCTAAAATTACTCTAATTTTTCCCCCAGGTTGTTTCTGACCAAAACGTTTTGGGTTATTTTTGCTCAGCCATGACCTAAAATGGTTGAGAAGTCGGGAACACAATGGTCTTCCATTCTGTGCCCGCCCATTTAATTTCCTTCAAAGCTGCAGAGATAACTTTGCCCTGGGAGAAAAGCTCTCTCTCCCTCTTCTCCAAGTAGATGGAATCTATGCCAATTCCTTGCTTGTACTTGGAGGCCTTCTCAGGGCAGGATACAAGCATACGACTCTACATTAAGCAAAGACTTAAATATGCTGCTCAGTTCCGATTTGGTCCTGCTTTCTTCTCCCCCACCGAATGCTTTTGCAGAACTAGGTTAAAAGAAAATGGTCCGTACTCACAGAAAGCGTAGTGCCTTTGCTTAAGAGACCGGAATGGCTAGGCTGGCTATGCCTTCGCCGTACCCCAAGGAGATGCAGAAGGCTGTGTTTGCAATTCTCAAGGAAGTTCAGCTATTTTTTTTAAGGCATACTGTTATTGATTTTGACAAAGTGCAATGTGCAGATTATAACTCATTTCATGAAAACATTTCTACTTCCTTAATAGGCAACTCCTCATTTACTTACTACAATATACATACTTCAATTTAGCAAAACAGGGAGGGATCGCCAGATTACAACACAAAGGTCATTGTCCACGTGAGAAATAGAAATCATAAATAGGTTTTTTTTAGCTTCATTAGAATATTTGCGAGCACTGACATATTAATCAACAAATGCATTTTGTTCTCTCCCTTGCTTTTTGCTCCATTGTGATGCAGAGATTTATTCCACTTTCCTTTGTTTCCCCTCTCAACACGTAAGGCTTGGTGGAATTGCCATGGGAAACACATAAGGAAATAGGCTGGGTGCTTTTTACTGCTCGTATTTTAGCACAAGGCTCTTAAACCGTTTAGCAAAGAAGGTGGAAGATAAAAGCTTTCAGTTGCTGAAGTGATCTGATAGGTCAGGCTTGTCATAAAAGGTTCGGACACTGTTCTAAAATGTACATTATTCTAAGAAAACCTGCAAATTTATATTTATTTTCTGTCTTTTAGCTTCCCAAAGAAAATTTTCCACCCTGCAAACCTGGTTAACATGAGAAATCTTAAAGCAATCCAGTTTCAATCAGATCATGGATAACTAGGGGAGGGTTTTGGTGGCATTTAAAACAGACCAAGGGTTGAGCAGGTTCTTGAGTAATAGGTCAAAATATATTAGCTTTATAAGTTAATGAAATTAACGATTTCTCACTATACAAAGTATGCTTTCCCTTTTTCAGACTAAAAAAAATTTACAATTTGCTAGGATCCAGGGGCTACATGTACCTCTGATTTCCCCATTCTGATTTAGAATCATTGTGATGTTAACACAATTGAATTTTTTCATTGCACTGTTTAATGAACAAATAGTCCATAGAAAATGACATGAATTTGGGACGAATGTTTTAAGGGAGACAATCCAAGACTCATTTACAAATCACTTGCTTTTTTAAAAACACATAATAGCTGATGAGAGGGTCTAATTGAAAAAAAACTTAAAGACAGAAAAAAATACTCTGTTACAGATTATAGCTGTAGCTATAGTTTAACCAGCATGTTTGTTGATACTGTCTACTTATACCAGGGGTCTTCAAACTTGGCCCTTTTATGACTTGTGGACTTCAACTCCCAGAATTCCTCAGCCAGCAATGCCGGCTGAGGAATTCTGGGATTTGAAGTCCACAAGTCATAAAAGGCCAAGTTTGAAGACCCCTGGCTTATACCAACAGGTAGTTACGTCTTCCAGAACAAATCATCTATTTCTTTCTCATTGCCATATTTCGCTTTATATATTTTGCATTATAGACTCATCTGCTTTCATAAAACGATTCTAGTTAGAAGGGGGAAAAAAACCCTACCATATACGTATATGGGGGGCTGATAGCTTTTTTTTTATTAAGAATGTACAATTTTACATTACCAAACAAAGCTACATTTAAAAAAAACTGAATCCAAATACAAAACCCACAGGATTTGCTACAGCTTCCTAGCTGACATAGATTTACTGATATATTTGCTGAAATAGATTAATGTTGCTATATTAGATGGCAGTGAAACTAAAAGATTTGCATGGAGATATTGCAGCTAGCACAAAATGACAGTTGTTCTTTTGTGGCAATCTAGATGTATCAATATTGTACACTGCTATAGTGCAAAGTGAGACTTCTCATTTTCTCTCTGAAACGACAAGTATTTAGAGCCACTTCAGCGAGATGAACTCTTTAACAGTACCAATTGTGTGGGCTAGTACAGGGGTAGGCAACCTTGGCTCTTTTATGACTCGTGGACTTCAACTCCCAGAATTCCCGAGCCAGCCATGCTGAGGGGAAAGGGAGAGGTTTCCAAGCTGGGCCATGCTGGCTCAGGAATTCTGGGAGTTGAAGTCCACGAGTCATAAAAGAGCCAAGGTTGCCTACCCCTGGGCTAGTATGAATGATGAACTATGTATCGTAACAGTATATATTTCTATATTTTTATATATAAAACTTCAATAGTATCTATTTGTATAAATACAACAGGGAAGCCTCAACTTGCAACAAAAGCAGATCTCCCTCATCCATGTAACTGTACATGCTTCTCTCATTAGCAGTTTCCTATGAGAAAAAGGGAAGTAAATTCATCCAGTCTTGAATAAAGTCCTCCATATTCCTTTTAGAGTTAAAAGTGATTTAGAATTCCTGTCTGGCAGGAACAGCAGCAGATTGCTATTCGTAATTACCCAAACGCTGCAGACACCTTGTTACTGTACTGAAGCATGAATTTCTCTAATTTCTCTACAATCTGCAGTTTTTAAAAGGCAACAAACATAACAGTAGAGTCCACCCAATGAAGATATCCTCCCACAGAACTCCATGAGGCAGAATCAGAGGGAGCTTGAAGATCTTCTGGAAGGGAATGCATTGGCAGTTTCTAAGGCAGATAAATGCCAAGAATGTCCTTATTTATATTTGGACTTTTCCTTATTTTTGGACTTTTTGGGATTCCTCTCTGATTTTTTCTCTTCATCATGGTCTCTTTCCCAGGCTTCCTCGGAATGCTTGTCTTTAGACTTTTTGTGGTGGCTTTCTCTCTCCCGAGAATGGCTCCGGCCTCTCTCTCGCTTGTCGCTTTTTCTTTTCTCCCTATTGCCTTCTTCTTTGTGCCTTCGGCCAGGGTCCTGAGAGAAGAAGGATGAAAATGTGCAGTTATTTGCACTGATGACACAGAAGAGTAGAGAAAAGGAGCAGGTACAGAGCGCCAACGGTTTTCAAATTCTGCCTGCTCATTTCCATGCTAGTCTTACAGAATGAATAGCAATGTACCAATTCAGTCTAAGTAAATTATGCATTGCTAGACCTTTAAAGGAAACCCTCTGGGAAGAACAAAACAATCTATCCTATATATGTATAAAAATATGTGGTTTGTTTTTTTTTAATTTATGATTTGAAGTGTAAAACAATTTTTTCCAAATTATTTTAATATAACATTTGAAGCTGCTTTTACTTCCTATTATGTTTCAGTTTACATAATTTGGGATAATATCAATTTATTTTGTCAAAAAAAAAAAGGAAATATAAAAACAAAAAATCAGAAATTGCTGTGCTTCATGATTTAAAATACAACATTAATCAACCTACCTACTTTATGGTTGCTGACTTAAACAGATAATTTTATCAAATTAAGGCAGGGATTGTCAATATTGGAGCCAATTGCAGACCTTTTTGAGTACCTCCAAAGAAAATTAACTACGAGGGGCCTTCTGGGTACAGCAGGAGGTGAAAGTAAAGGGCAACTGCAAGCTATTTTCCAAAGCACCTGAAGGCAGGACAAGAAGCAACGGAGGGAAACTAATCAAGGAGAGAAGCAACCTAGAACTAAGGAGAAATTCCCTGACAGTTAGAACAATTAACCAGTGGAACAACCTGCCTCCAGAAGCGGTGAATGCTCCAACAGTGGAAGTTTTTAAGAAGAGACTGGACAGCCATTTGTCTGAAATGGTATAGGGTTTCCTGCCTGAGCAGGGGGTTGGACTAAATGACCTCCAAGGTCCCTTCCAACATCATCATTATCAATAATAATAATAATAATAATAATAATAATAATTAATAATAATAATACTAATAATAATAATAATAATATAACTTCTGTAATTCCTGACCACTCGCCACATGCTGATATGAGTTGCAAAAGCTGTAATCCAAGATATCTGGAGAGAAAATTGCTTTCCCCTGCACAAATGTTCAGTTGCAACTGAGATCAGTAATTACTTAAAAATAATAATCAGATTTGAACCTTGACATGTCGTAAAACAATGTTATATAATCTGGAAACAAACAACAGCTCTGTGGTTACTTTTTTTTTTTTGGTTCTATTATATATTCCCTCCCAACCCATCTTCCCTGGAGAAGATCAAGGCAGTGGAAAAAGAAGGAAGGAAAGGAACATCCTGCTGTGTGAATGGGATTTACCTATGAAACTTTGAAGGAACCAGCTAAGGCAATTTAAGCTGTTATAGACTTTTATTACACTTTATTTTTCTTGGCCAATATCAGATATTTTGCTTTTGTTTACAAACTAGATTCTGTTAGGATGGAGAAGAACATGAAGAAAAGGTTGCAGTGTGTATATTTCTATGTTCCCATATTTCACAAATTATTAAAACTATTGACCATACTATTAAATGGGAAACATCCTACACAAAACTGTTAAAACAAGACATACTAGATCTGAAAATAAATCCCTCCAAACCTACAGACAAACACACAGTGAAACAAAAAGTTGCAAAGGCTGTTTAAAAAAAACAGTTCAACGAATGCTCTGTTTGTGAATCACATGGATTTTACAACACTACTTCGGAATGATTTGATTTTCCAGCTAATCTTTTCTCTTGCTGATTTAACTTTACAGTCCCAGGTGCAGTAGCTCTGATGACCTGCAGGAATATGGTCCCATGTTTTTTTGCTGTGTATTTCTTCAAATGTTTTTCCCAATCTGTTATCATTAGCAAAGTGTCTCTTTGTTTTCCAGTGCTGAATCAGATTTGTTATCCTGGTCAACAGCGCACATTTTAATCAATTTAATTTTAAAAAATGTGTCCTGGGATAATTCCTAGCAAAACAAAACCAAACCCTGAGGTTTCAATTCAAACTTTGTTTCTGAGATTTTTGGAATAATATTTCTTTCTAGTATTTCTGGGTTTTTTTCTCATAACAACCACATACAATAACATATTCCAGCATTTTTGTGATTATTAACAGAGTTTTTTTTTCTTTTTACGATCCTGTAATCTCTTTTATCGAGGTGGAGTTGGGGCGACTGAATGGAGCTCAGCATTTACTGGCCGGATGCCCTTCCTGATGCCTACGCGGAGTTCACAGCAGATATTTACTCTTTGTGCCTTGACAGAGAAATATCTGTCACTACCTAGGACTGAACTCTCAACCTCCCGAGTGTGAGGTGAATGTCTTCACCTCTAGGACACTGCCCTTCTCCTCTTTAACAGAGTTATATACTATCTGTAAAATATTTATGCCAATTTTCTCTTAAATTATAGCGTCTCAAAAAGGTTGGAACCCATCATTTCAGTGTACTAAAGGCGACTCATTTATTCATGCCTATTTACCAGCAGAAGACATTTTTTTTAAAATAGCCTTTTCTTTCACTATGAAAGGTATTCCAGTTTATTGATGTTTTTAGACAGCACTTTAGAACAATATTAAGTCAACAGGTTCTGGTTTCAAGGACCTTGCATTTTACAACTTATCAGGAGAGCACTATTTGCCATCAGAAGGAAATAAAATTTCAGGTAAAAAAGACATCCAAGCAGAAATGCACAATCAGACAACTAGAAACCCAGGACTGAATGAAAAGGGTACACTCAAGGGTAAAGAGAGAGTGGATCATAAGCAGAAAAATCAGTAGCTCTGAAAAGCCTGAAATTCGATGAATTACTTGGAATGTTCAGGGGGTTATTTAATAGTCAAAAAGAGATACCTGATGAAATTATATTGGAGATAAAGCCAAAGGTTTCTTCTTATTTGCAAATGAATAAATAAGAATATAGCAAGATAACTAATTTAAACTAGTATCAGGAACAGTGCATGAAATGGCAGGACACAGAAACAAATTGGGCATATTAAGCATACAAGGAGTATCACAGCACGCAAATAGCTTTTAAGATTTGGCAGTGAATCTGGTGAAGACAACGCAGAAACCTCCTCCAAAGGGAAGACAGCAATGCAAATAGTGAGGCCATAGTAGTCAGTGGCTTATTGTAAGAATATGGAAAATAAAGGACATGGGAGACGGCTCTTCCCCCTTCTTTCTCCTTTCATCCATATAAGTAAGTTAATTAGCTTAGTAAAAGTCTCTTTTACATTGCAGTCTTCATTTAACAGCTGTACCGTCACTGCATTGCAAACTATTGCCCCGAATTTGTGTTTGCAACACCACAGAGCAGCTAAGCAACAATAAGAATCTCTAATCTTTTCCTAGCTGTCATAAGGTTGGGGGGAGGGGAGGGGATGAGATTAATTTTTGATAGTAACTAAGAACATTTGCCTACATCATTAAAAAAAAACCCCACACACACAGAAGCTAACAGATCACAACTACTTTTTCAAGAGGTCACTTGGGTCAGATTCTTAGCTCAAGAGCAGATTTTGTTTCTTCTTCTACCTATTGGCAAAGTTGAATTTCCTGTCTTTTAGTGAGGTCATATTTAATTTAGTTTTTCTAAAAAGTTCTGCAGAGCTAAGGGGATTTCCAGTAGAGTGCAGGAGCCAAATACAATGAGCAAGCTCTGTATTTGAAAATGGGAATGTAGAGAGTAAACTTTTCATCAAAGTTAAGGCAGCAAATAGGATAACACTGGAGTAGGATATAAAGGAACGGACATCCTTAAAGGCGGGGAAAACACTAGGCCTTGCTTTCTTTTCACAGGAACCAATTAAAAATATCATTCCAATAAAAGGACAAACATTTAATACTTTGGTTTTTCTGCTCCTCTTCTCCTCCTCCTCCTCCTCATCATCGGTGTTGTCTGAATGGTAATGCTTCCTCTTTTTATCAGAGTGCCTGTGGCTGGTTCTGGCTTCCTCCTCTTCATTCTCCAGCACAAGATCGTATTTGGAGCTACGGATGTCTGTTAAGGAAAGCGTGACCAATAGCGATGCCAGAAGGCAACGGGAGCCAGGAGGGAGAGAGAAAATCCATAAATGCAGACACTGTATTTGAGCCAGTTGACCAGTGAAGTGCAAGGAAACAATTTGGCAGCACCCCCTCAGATGTAAATGAATCGACTAGCAAACCGTCCCTTTCGGTATTTCTTTGCAATGATTTTGCCAAGCTTTGAAACACACAATTCTGAATGGAATTTTTTTTTTTTTAATCATCCAGTTCTTACGTGTGGCCATCCGAATCCCAGATTTTCTATTTTGTAACTGTTCTGAGACATAACTGAAAAGATGCCTGCATGGTAAATGGATGGCAGCCCTCCACTCCACAGCTTTACTAGTCAATTTTCCTGTATGACTCAGCCAGAATGCAAAGCAAAACTGTCTATATAAGCAACATTAGGTCTTTGAAAGAGGGAACTGAGAGCGACACTTAATACACCATCTCCCAAATTCACAAGAAAGTGAAATTTAACTAGGAGGATCTATAGCAAATACATTCACCATATGGAAACATTTTTTTACAACTGTTAACAAACACTTTGATTCTGGCCCCAATTAGACACTGCTTATTTCCTTCATAATAAAATTATCATAAAGGCTAAACAGGCCTTTAATTGAGGTTTCTCAGAAACACTTAAAAGAAGAAGTACTTGCCAGTGGACTCTCAATTTCCTAAATCCAACTTGGCTCTTCACTAAATATTACACATATGAAAGTTATATAACAAGAGAGTTTACATAATAGCCCCAAGAAAATAAGTTTTGAAATTAGATGTGGGAATCAAATCTATCCATTAATATAATATTCAACATTAGATCTAGCAGTATTTAGCAATCTCTACAAATACTTTAATATTGGTGTATAAAGTAGAATAATATGCATAACATTCCATATTCTATCTGTTCTGAATAGTTTCATATACATATTGAATGTTATATATGTTATTGTTCTACTTATCTTTCTACATCTGAAGACCAAAATGGTGTAGTGGTTAAGGTGCTGGACCAGGAGGGAGAAGACATGAGTTCTAGTCCTTCCTTAGGCATGGAAGACAGTTGAGTAATTTTGGACCAGCCACACCCTCTCAACTCTGGACTGGGAAGTCAAGAAATTCTTCTATTAATTCACAATAGATTAACGCGACACTACTTTTAAAACAACTATGATACATCAAGCAATAATTTAATTGTTCAGGATACTCTTGCTTGGGTTTTGCTTTCTCTTTCAGACTTAATTTAGAAGTTTTGCTGTGATCTTTTTCATATTCTTTGAAATCATCCTTGGTGTATTTCCCGCCTGTTTATATAAGGAGAAATAAGCCGACATTAATTTTGAATACAAGGTTATACGGAAATAGCTGTTAATGATTGCTGTGCAAAATAAACCTTTTTAGGGAGATCCTAACGAAATGGGCTCCAAACAGAAATATTTCAGAAGTAGTTAAGGCCTCCGAGATGCACCTGTCACGAGATCCCATGCAGAGATCTAAACAAATAATTTGTGCTGCTTTGTGCTAACTTTTTTGATAAGCAGAGTAGAAATACGGTAGTCTGGTTCACAAAGGAAAGTCTTCCCAAGTAATGCTTTTCAGCAAAAAAAAATGATGCCAATTCTAATAATGGGCACAGACACCTTTTGATCAGATTCAAATAGTTTGAGCTACTCCATTTCAGTCTGTTAGCTACAGCATTAATGCTCTTAATACTGATAAAGCCAACTCCATAGTCAAAACCTCACCATTCCCACACGCATTTATTTATTAAGCAAACGTAGCATTTTCTACTTAGCATCTTTCTATAATTACAAGATTGAAAAGTAGAATATGCACCTTTATAAATGGTTAATTGAGAAGGGATCATATCTGTAGATATTTCATGGTCAACAAATCTGTATCTGACAAATACTTTGTGTCCCTCCCAAAACAGAGTTGATACTGTCTATAATATAAGGAACTTGCAATGGGAGGAATTAATAGAAATAATTTATACTTCTTGTTACCTTTTCCTTTCCATTTCACCTTTGCAACAGATTGGCTAAAATCAACATGTATTCGCCTGTCGTCTATTAAGACATTGTCCATCTTAAAGTAAGCTTTCTCACAATCTTCTTCCTGATATGTGTTTCAAAAGAAGTGTAATTAAAGTTAGAAAATTTATACTGTAACAACTCTTGGATGCCATCATAAAAGTGGAAAAAGTAGTTATTGCCATAAAAACTTCTGACAGCATTAATATCTGCCTACCCTGCAGAGTCAGCTTAGAATGCGCAATTCCAGTGCCATATTGTTAAGTAGAATCTGACTTTAATATAGAACTCCAGCGTTAACACACTAATAGTTTCAGTACTTTACAATTCTTACAAAGATGGAATCACAATTGCTTCTTCAGGGTACCAGTCTGTGGCTATGTTCACATGATAGGCTGAGCCACAAACTAGCCTACATTTTAAATTAGCATGTTATGTGAACTTGTCCATGGGGTTCATTAGTTGTTAATGAGAAGTTGCCCATACTCTCTGGCATATTCTCCCCACAGAGGAGAGGTGGGGCCTCAGTCTCCTAGCTTTCTGAAAATATCTATATCTAGCTGGGAGCATCCAGTTGTGGGGCTGGTTAGTGCACTGAAGCCCTCCCTCCTGCCTTTTAAAATCAAATTTTAACTATCCTTGCCTTATTTTAAAATTTTATATTCATTTTTTATGTTTTTAACATTTTATCTGTACACTGCTCAGAGACCCTCTGTGAGGGAAATGGGCAGTTTCTAAATAAATAAATAAATAAATAAATAGAGTGAATAATGGTTATATTAACCATGGGTAGCCAGGTAATACAAATAAAACCAGCCTATAAACCAAGGGATCCCAAAACATCCCAAACACATTCATGTATTGATTTTCAGGGGTCATTTTATTTTTGTACATAATGGTAAACAGGAGGGAATCCTCCCTCTTAATCATTTATTAGTATATTTCAGAAGATGTGAAAAGCCCCATTTTTTCCACTAATTACTAAGAGTTTCTAAGGGGTGTTTGGCAGCATCATGTTCTTAGTCCTTACCACTTAACCATGTTACCTATTGTACCTTATTGCATTTCATTTAAAAAGGATGACATGAAAGGGTGATTAATAATAATTTTAAAAAGAACAAAGTGGTTTCCAGATGTAAATGATCAAATCTAGGAAGTCCATCAAAGATAGGGAAAGGGTATGCAGACTAAAAGCAGGAATTTCTTCTCCTAATGCTTGGAACTGAGATATTTCAAATGCTAACTGCTCTTTAGTAAAATTATACATAAAGCATTCAGTTTGGTTTATATTCTTATACTGTATATAGTTAAACGGTATATACATACGGCCACACACCTTTTCAAACTCAATGAAAGCATAGCACAGAGATTCACCAGTTTTCCAATCTCGAATTACTTCACAACTGAAAAATCAACACATTTTGTTCAGGAAACCATACAGATAGCAGTTGTATGTCATGCAATGTTAAGTTTTAAATCATCCCATAGCTTTCACGGCACTCAGTCTATGGAGGTCCTCGTAAGCTACTATGGCAGTGGTGGTGAACCTATGGCAGACGTGCCAGAGGCGGCACTCGGAGCCCTCTCTGTGGGCACACGTGCCATTGCCCCAGCCTTGCCTCCCCCACGACCCCCTCCACACCAGCAGCCCCCCTGGAGGAGAGTCACCCCCGAGCGTGGCCCACGCAGAGCAGCGCAGCCAAGGACATGGCAGCCAGGCAGCGTAGACAAGACTCTGCCCTCACGCCCCATCGCACACAGTTGATGCTGCGGGGCACGGGCAGGGGGCCTGGTTGCCATGGCGCTGCTGGGCTGACTGGGCGATCTGCGGTGGGCCCTGGAGGCGGTGAGTGGCCCTGCGGGCAGGCAGGGTGGGACGGAGAGGGGGTGGGGCAGGGGTGGAGCGGGGGCAGGGCCAGTTTTTGGGCACTCGGTCTCTAAAAGGTTCGCCATCACTGCATTGGTATCAGAAGTTACAGTATGGATGATAAGAATGTGTGAGTTTAGTAGAACTACAAACAGAAGTCTTGCTTTTCACTTTCTATCCTATACTGCTACCTTTAGACCCAGGGATTAGTTTCAGAGTTGGGGCAAGTTCTAATTTAGTGAATGAGGTCAATAAGGATCACTGGGTTCAGCTTCAACATACTATACAATAAGCTTTAAAAGTATATTCAGGTTAGCCATCACACCGAATTAGACAACTGCACTTTCTAACATCATTGATTTAGGATACAAAAAAGCCACTTAAAAAAATCTAAAGAGAATAGACATACATATATTATAATAAATCAGAAAGAAAAAGTGCTGGAAGAGTCTACAGTAATTAGTTTTCTAATACTTAATAAATGGCATTGTAACAGTTGGTTCTCAGACTAAAGATTCAAGCAATCATATTTGATAATTCACAGCTCTTCCTTTAGCAGAGAAGAGACCTGTCCCCTCCCCAGTGCATAATACTGTGAGTGAAAGACTCAAAATCCTTACCCTAAGACACACATAAGCATATTGACTTTAAATTGAAAACAGTTCACCTGCTGAACTTCCCCTATCACTATTGTTTTCATCTTTTTAAACTCTGCTAAAGAGAACTTTGTAAGATTCCCGCTTAGGAAAAAACACTTTCAGTTTAGGCAATCACCAAAGGTCTGAAAAGTATTTCTATCAATACAAGGTAATATCTATATTAAGTCTATTGCTAGGCCACTGTGACTAAAAAAAAATGTTCCTTCTGCATTTTTCACTAGCAAGGACTACATTTTGCACTTTGTATAAAGGTCTGCTAATGTAGTCTTTGCAAATGTTCAACACTTACCTTTTTATCGAACCAAATCGGGAAAATATGATTTCAAGGTCTTCATCGGTTGTCACAGGATTAAGTTTGCAGACAAAAAGAACATTTTCAGGTGGCTTGATATTTGCATCAGGTAAGTCTCCAACCTGGGGAACAATGCAAGAAAGATTACTTTATTTTACTTTGCTTTATTCCAACACTCCTACAATTTGCACTAATGGATACACATATCAAAATGACTCCATTTTAAGATGTGAGAATGTGTACAATGTGAATATGCTATTCAAGATTATTCTGAAGCCTTAAGGATGGAAAAGGCAGATCTTTCTGTTTGATGACCTCTCTCGAATGAGATGCTTAAAAGATGATAGTTTTCTTAAAAACAGTATGCTTCTGAGCTATAACTGAAATAGCAACTTGTGAAGAAGGCAAGATCCATCCATCTCTTTTTTCATACTTGTGACTTCAGAGATTCTACAAAGGTTAAGGACTGATTTATAAGCAACAATTGTGGTGTCAAGTTGTAACCTGGCTTACTAATGCATCATATATTTACTTTCATGGACCATCGCAGAAGAAAAAACATTACAGAGATTTATCAATTTAAATGCTTTTTAATACACCCAATTCATATATTTCATTAAAAAAAGCCCAAGATTACAATAGATGATATTAAACAATCCTTATTCATGTCTTGCAATGAGTAGGGATTACTAAAGTTTTAATGGTAAAATGTTAAAATATAAATTATTCTTGTATGTTACATAAAATCTGGTTCCACATAATTGTCATACTAGAGTCAAAGAGGGATGGGGGAAATAGTGACCAAGGCCTGGGACTTGCCACCAGTGCTTCCCTCCGTTTGGAAAAATAGTAGTTGGAATTTAATTTATAACTTATGTCCACCTAGGTCCTAGGAGGAAACTACAGGTAGTCCTCGACTTACAACAGTTCATTTAGTAACCGTGCAAGTTACAATGGCACTGAAAAAAATGACTTACAACCATTTTTCATACTTATGACCGTTGCAGTATCCTCATTGTCACATGATTTACGTTTGAATGCTTAACAACTGTTCATATTTATGATGGCTGCAGTGTCCCGGGGTCATGTGATCCCTTTTCGCGACCTCCTAACAAGCAAAATCAATGGGGAAGCCAGATTCACTTAACAGCTGTTTTACTAATTTAACAATTGCAGTGATTTGCTTAACAAATGTGGCAAGGAAAGCCATACAATGGGATAAAACTCACGTAACAGATTTCTCACTTAGCAACATACATTCTGGGCTCAATTGTGGCTGTAGGTCGAGGACTACCTATAGTTGCTGACCACAGGTCAGATCCATCTGTACTACGTTTTATAAATGTTTACAGGAGTTTAATACAATAGCTTTAAAACTCAAACATAAGCACAGATGCACATTTAATCTGCATTTCGATTTCTTTAACATAAGAATGTTTCTGCATATGGATTGCTTTAACCAAGTTTATTATATAGTATTTAAAATACTTTAGATTTCACTATGAGACCAGTTTTACATTTTAAGAGGCAAAAATTGCCAAAGAACCCAGAGCATACCAGACGTAATGTGGCAATCATTCGGTATGGGGTACCATTTCTATTTAAATAAAGCTAAACATCTGCTAAGCATCTGCACATCTACAATTTAACCATCAGATCAGATATACTGCATCTACCATTTCCAAGAGAATAGCCTGTGTTTTTGCTTCTTTGTCTGCCAGGATTTCTTCCACTTCATCCGTAGTCCTTCCTTTGAAGTCATCGATTTCTTCATCAGCACCTATTCTCCCACTCTGTCTTATTTAAAAACAAAGAGATAGATATTTAATATGACTTAGAATGAATACTTCATCTTTTTTATAACACTTTGCAGCAGCTACCTGAAACCTCACCACATTTATCCTGCACTGGCTCTCCCATACCTTGCAGCGGCCACTTACCTGCCCAACGGCATCCTTGTGAGCCACCTGGGACTTGCAACTTTCTGCCAGCTTTTCCACTAACTTTGCTTGTGGAAGCCAACAGGAAATTTCAATGAGGTCCTTGCCTAACAACCCATGATTCTTGCTTAATCACAGCAATGGGAAGTGCTGGGATTGCTGTCACTAAATGATGCAGTCATGTGATATCACGCATTACAACTGCGTTACTCAGCAATGGAAATGCCACTGTTAATCAAGGACTACCTGTATTGAGGTTACACTTCTATAGAGGCAGTTACAGATTTCCATTCATTTTTCATTCTTCCCCTTTCCTTATCATTTTTTTTTCGTTATCACCTTATTATCCGGTGATAATTTTGTTCACTGCCCAGAGTAACTTGGTGAGATGGGCAGCTAAATAAATTATAAAAAAATGAAATTAATGTGCATCCCTGTGTAATTGCTATATACATTTTTGAAAGTGTAATTATGCACATCGCTGCTAATGATACTTTTGTAATGTGGCACGGTTAGCACACCTTCTGTTTTCCCACAGAAAACACAGCTAGAGATCAGCAGTTAGTATAGACATAGATGTGCCTTCTCAGCAGGCACGTGCTTGAATTATACTTCTAATGTTGTTCATTATTTTGCAGGAATAACGGTGTGCACTCAAATATTGCAAAAAACAATATATACTTAAAAAAGAATACTTGCAACTGTTGCCATTGATATTTTTCCTATCTTGAAGCTGAAACTAAAATTCTATTGAAACTGAAGAATCTGTATTATTGCCAATGAAAAGGACACAGTTGCTTTTATTGAGCAATATGTCCTCTAATTAAAGTCTTTTTTTTTTCCAAATCAAACATGACCTTGGGCCACTGTGAGAACATAACCACAAAGTTCTGTACTTCTGCAAAATCAGCAGGTACACTAGGGGAATATAAACATATTTCTCGATTAACTCCACACTCACATCCAATTGTTCTTTTGTAGGTTCTGGTGAACGATCTGGTATTGCCAAACCAGGGGGATCATCAAATGGATCATCTAAGATCACTGTATGGTTTATCCTAAATAGAAAACATATTCAGTTAAAGATTAAGTTCAAGGTTCCATTTCACAATAACTTTGAATATTAATTCACTGCTGCATCAAAAAACACCTACACAACAAAACTCATTTATCTGAAAACAAAATCTATAAGTTAAACTTTATTCCAAATTTTAACACTGACAGAGGGTGCATATGTTACTATAAAATTCAGACACTATAAAATTACTCACTTAACTGAAAGCATTCATCTGGCTTATGCTGAAAGGAAATTCAACAATTGCCTTCCAATAACAACAATTGCCTTCCAATTATATGAAATTTAGTTCATAGAATTGTTCTCATCTACTACCAAATATAGTTAAGGACTAATGTCATACATGAAAGATATGACAGCAATAGGTTTAGGGGAGTTTGAAGAAACTCTTTTACCTCATTACACATAATTCATTTATGGAATTCACTTTCACAGCAAATGGGGACAACATTTGCTTAAAGAGTTTTGAAGTCATAGCAAATAGATCTATCAAAAGTGGTAATAGCATAACAATAGGGAAAACTATAGCTGCTTTTGATTTGGGTTTTGGATACCTTTGATAGACACAACTTGATGGCTTTTGTTTAATCCAGCAGAATTTTGCTTACACTCTGCACTTTTATCAATTGTAGAAGATTTTGTTCATACCTGATGTCTTGATATGGAACGAAATCCTTATCGACAAAGGACTCATTAATTTTCATCAATACATCCATGCCTTCTGTTACTTCACCAAACACTGTATGCACACCATTCAGATAATCTAAGTTTTCTCCTATAGTAATAAGAAACTAAAAAAAAAATCAAGAAAAATAATGAATTGGAATTGACAAACTAATGAAAATCTTCATCTACTCATTTCAGTCTGTTGATACATTAGCTGATTTTGGATTCATTCACCAGAAAATCTTCTGATGTCACAAACTTTCTGTGAATTTTAGGCACTGAAGATGGCGTCATATTGTGATGATTTCAGTCTTTCCTGGAGATTATTTCTCAGGCAATACAAGAGTCGATTGTTTGTTCTCTACAGGAATTTTTATTAGAGCTCTTCCAGATTCAGTGCTATGCTCAGGTTATTTAACTTGTCATACCCAACCATGTTGAGATCTAGTTCCACTAAGGTTTTTAGCAAACCCAGAAAACAATGTAATCTTAGAACAAATCTACCATTGATGTAGTTGATATGGCTGAATAAATTGAAGTTCAGTTTGGACAATATCAAAAGACTTCATCCAACAGTGTGAATTCACCCAATAGTGGAATAGTTGAGTAGTGGTCCATCTGCCAGAAGAACAAATTATTTCTCAGTTCTTCTTCCATATTTTTTGCTTCAAAAAGTTGGAGACACCACCAGAGCAAATCAAGCAGAAGAAGAGTGGAAATAAAGTCATGAAAAATCTTGTTATGTGAATAGAATTCTAACTGAATCATGCTGGCTATGATTCAAAGCTGATGACCAAATTTCTTGCTTTAAGTGAGATCAGTTATGCCTCCTCTATCAGTCAAAATTGTTTGTACACCTAATTCCATGTTTATGAATAGTCTGGTTTGGTAATCGGCCACTTAAAATATGAAAGCATCTGGTATGCTAATGCTGCAGAAAAAACTTATTTTTCCAATGTATTTTTTTTCCATTTTCAGTTTTTTTATATAATGTCATATCTGTGCTTTCAACTTCCATATGTCCTAATATGTTGACATGACTTTTCCAGATCTGTGGACATACCTGAGATCCATGCTGATCACTCCCATTGTTTACCATTGACACAGTTCCCTTTTTCTTGTGTTTAATTCTTGGCACTTTCTCTGCTTCAAAAAATCTAGCTTGATCACCATACAATTTGCTGAAACATGTACAAACAAATTATTAATCAGAATAAATTGCACAACTTTTAAAAACTAGCCATATGAGAGAAAAAAACTGCAGTACAGTGCATGGAGAAGTACAAATTGACAGTTCCATTCGTTTTTAACAATTTCAGAATCATTTATATAACTGAGACTATATATTTGTTTCTTTATTTTTCCTATCACCCCAATCATAAGACTCTTGGTAGTACACAAAAAAAACTTTAATAATCTTCATAGTAATATATTGCATTAATCTAAAACCAGAATAAGACTCCATATGTCTTGCCACACACATACAAAAAAACCCCATCTTAAGTTGCTTCTGAAATGTCTACTATGTTGAAGCAAATATAATTTCCAGGGAAAGATTCTTACATAACATAGTGACTACTGTATAATTGAGACAATTCCTTCTCCCTGACTTAGCAATTGCAATAGCACTTAGATTTATATACTGCTTCAGTGTTTTACAGCCCTCTCTAAGCGGTTTACAGAGTCAGCATATTGCCCCTAACAATATGGGTCTTCATTTTACCAACCTCAGAAGGATGGAAGGCTGAGTCAACCTTGAGCTGTTTCAGCATCGAACTGCTGGCAGTGAACAGTGTGTTAGCCTGCAACACTGCATTCTAACCATTGCACCATCACGGTTCTTCAAGGAAATGAAGAATCACTAAATTATTTTCCCTCAGATGGTTCATATCAGATGCTCATATCAAGCCATTCTAAGTAAAAGCTTATGCCAAGCCATTTAAGGCTTTTTAGGTTAAAACCAACACTTTAATTTTTTCCTTCATCATATATTGACCAAAGTGATTGGTCTGCACGAAGACTTTCACTATCAAAGTTCATGATTTATTCTTCTGGTTCCAAGATTACCAATAGGTAATCTAAATGAATGCCTATGTAAGAAGTAATAAATTCTGCTATATTCAAAAAGTTTTATTGACTTTGCAAATCAAAACTAAACAATGTTTACCAAAATATGGATTCACCTCCACGGCCAGTCCCCAGGGGGTCTCCAGTTTGTATGATAAAATCTCTCTGAAACAATGTGGAACACATATAACTTATTATTTAACATCATTTAAAAAATCCTCCTCATGTTATTAAGAATCTTCTCTGTGTGCCAATAATTACATAAGGCAGACTATGCTATTATTTCTGTTTTACAACTGAAGAAAGGAATTTAAACATACACATGCATGCATGATTAGGAAGAAGACATTTAGCATATGTATTTCTTAGATTAAAATTGTATATCTACTATATAAGACTCACAATTAAATTATTGTCTTATATGTGAAGCAAAAGCAAAGGAAAAAAATCAGATATGCTTACTTGTATATTATGTATAAGGCAGTAATTGTAGTATTTGGTCTTGCAAAGCTTCAGGAAATTTAGACAAGCTAAAAGAAATAAAGACAAGACAATTGAAACAGGCTACGGCCTTTGCCTAAAAGAAGCAAGCTATTCTTTCATACAAATTCAATAAAAAATGCCCAGTAACAATCCCCAGCAAGTTGCATGAAACAAATGGCACACCATGAATAAATGTTCAGATTAAAATGACAGAGAAATATTATCTATTTTTATCAAATCTTATAGAAAAAGAATATTGGAAAACGCAGGACTTATTTTCAACTAAGCAGTCTATTTTTTCTATATATGGACTTTAGACCAGCAATGCATGTTATAAACTTTATAGGACATCTGTGTTAATGTGCAGAGTGCCTTCTGTTCATATTAAGCAATCACAGCATGTTCTAATACATGTGTGTCCAATCTTTTGGTTTGCCCCGGTTGCATTGAGTGAAGAGGAATTGACTTGGGCCATATATAAAATATACAATTAATGTATACAAATCACATGTTAAAAAATTATGATGGGGGGCACATTACTAGCTGTCTCAGGCCACATGCTGAACACACCTGTTCTAATTTTACCTTATAGTGTCATCAATCCATACAGTGCTTTACAAAGTGAGAAAAAGCAGGCTCCTGTCCTAATTCCCAAAATTCAGTACAATAAGAGGTACAAAGGAAGGTTAAAAAAAGGCAATGCAGGGACAAACAGGACAAAATATATAGTAATTCAGTTAGACAAGGACAGGATGTGCAAGAGTGGATTAACCATTGATACAACATTTGGAGACATGTAAGCTTGTTAGAAAGCATGGAGAGGCAATGCATTATCCTTTTTATACAGGTTTTATTTCTATGCTTTAATAACATCCTGATACATAAGAAGTTTAAACCTGAAGCTTTTCTTGCTTTTTATGGGGTAAGGAAGGGTTTTGTGGTGTAATCTATGGGAATCAAGCTGCTACAAAAGTCAAATAGGAGTTTCAGTGGAAATTGGGCAGAGAAAGTTATATTTTATATCTCAGAAAAGAAACTGAGAATCTCATTAGTCAAGTTCATAAAGCCAAGTTGGAAAATGAGAATTATTTCAGAGGAAAAATTCCATGTACTCAATGTGTGCAGTTGTTTTTTCCCCCAACCAATCCTTTTTATTAAATTCCAGATAAAATGCAAGTCCAGAGTACTGATACTGCCAAAACTGGGATGCCATTTATAATCCTCAAAGTAAATATTGTATAAAGTTATTAAAGAAATGGAGCCACCCTAAGTTTTTTTTTAAAAAAAATATAAAAGACCTTTTCCACAATCAGTCCAAGTTCTCCCTGGAAAAACAATAAAAGACTGAGATCTTTGGATCCCATGTGAAAAACTAGTATTAATTTCAATATATCTCCCATCACTTAGCCCCCACCTCCTGAGAGCATCACTATCTCTGGAGTTGCTCCTATTCTGCATTTTGGGGAACTGCAGATTCTGAGACATCCCTGAAAAATTTAGCTTTTTTTTTTTTTTTGCACATTCCGCAAATGTTGTGCTAGCTTCTCCAAGCGCAGTAAACCCTGCTGGAGAAGTATCGCTAAACCGGAATTTTTCTGCAGTTGTCCAGAGGTTTCTGGCCCGGAATTTGTCCTACGCGGTACCCGCTGCACTGTCACTACCTCTCGGTCTCTCCTCCGTGTATAAATCAATCACTAGGTCTCCCAGCGTGGTCTCCAGGAGCACAGCCATGGCGCCTCTTCCAGCCGCCTTTCTGATCTTTCCGCCAGTTTGCTCCTCCACGATCCCAGCATGCCTTGCGCGACTCCACTTCCTCCCTGGTTTGACAGCTGTAAGACAAAGCGGCGCTCTTTTCCAAGGCTCGGTTACCGTAGACTTACGACTGTAGAGTCGCCCTTCAAAGTTAGTTTGGGCACCACTGGCGGACTCCCGGAGGCCGGAAGTGAGCGTGATTCAGAGAAGACGGGGAAAGATTTGGCAGCGCTCTCAGGTCCAGCTGTGCGGAGACAACCGGCTTTGAACCGGCTTTGAACTAGACTAGGAATAGGCAACCTCGGCTCTTTTATGACTCATGGACTTCAACTCCCAGAATTCCTGAGTCAGCTTTGCTGACTCAGGAATTCTGGGAGTTGAAGTCCATGAGTCATAAAAGAGCCGAGGTTGCCTATCCCTGAACTAGACAAATCCACTTTCTAATTTGCTTACCTAAGTACTGTAATTGCTATAGGTACAGGAGACCCACATGTTAAAATTATTTTTTATCCTGCCTTTATTATTTTTATAAATAATTCAAGGTGGCAAATATACCTAATACACGTTCTTTCTTCTATTTTTCTCACAACTACCAGCCAGAGAGAGAGAGAGAGATTCTGTCTGGAATCTCTGAGAATCAGCTTGTTCTGCAATTCTAAAGAGAGCTGACTTCAGAACTCCCCTTTCTTTTCTTCCAAACAATTGGCTTTCTGTGTCAATTAATACAGAATTTTTGTGTGCTTTTTTTTAAAGCTGCAGATGTTGACTTTTTGGATAGAGAAAGATAAATCTGAGAAACTATTTAGAAGGAACATTATGTTTAGATCACATTACAATGTTCTTTCCTCAGAACATGTAGCTTTCTTTCATGTGCAGATAACCTTAAACAAGCGCACAGGAAAATAAAACACACAGGGTGAAATTATATATGTCTGACCTGGCCAGCCTTTATAAACTTCTTGATTTAGTGATTATGAAAATTGGTTCAGAATTAAAGTTTTACTCAAGATACTTTTTCTTCATTGCCTAAGGATCCATATTTAAGAAAATAGCGTACCTTTGAGCATGCTTCAACAAGGATAAACAGATGTATACTGTCTTTCAAATCATAGTAGTAGAATGCTGATCTTTTTTATACATTATTTTCTTCCTCAGGATCAATTTTTTCTTCATATCCTTTTGGTTATTCTTTTTACTAACTATGTAAATTGGGAGGTAACTAAAAGTTTGCATAATTCTGGAGATGTTTAAAGAAAAATATGGTTTAAATATTCATTTAGCATTTGATATATCATAGTATTATCTCTCTATAAAACCAACAAATAAAAATCCAGTGTTTGAGTAGTAGTGGCACAGCAGCAATTCCCACCAACAAGCAGAAAGACTTAGTGTGTTGTACAAAGCCAACCAATTATGGTTTATTCAATAAGCCATGATTGAACCATAACTTTCTCTTATATATATCATACATTAAAGTAGTTCCATATCCTCTCTTTTGGAGAGTTTAGAACAGCAGTTCCCAAACTTTTCTATACCCCGCACACCTAGAACGCTTCTGATATATTCTCGCACCCTTTACAAAAGTAATAAACTTATTTAAACAAATTTTGAATGATGTGAACATAAAAAATAATTTTGAAACTTCTAAACCCAAGTTTTCGCACCCCCTGGAATATCGCCTTGCACCCCCCAGGAGGTGTGAGCATCCCCGGTTGGGAACCCCCTGGTCTAGAAGCTTCCATATATTGAGTCAGACCAATCATCCATTTACTCAGTAGTGACTCAGTGACTTCAAGGATTAAAGATTTTCTTTTCATAGCCCGCAAGCATCATTTCAGATGCTTGGAATTGAACATGAGACTCTTCGAAATCAGCCCTAAGAAATATTCCCCCAATCAGTGCTTACTGAATTAAAGGCTAGTTGTAGATGTGAAAGGCAGTTCATATCTCAAAGGGATGCAATTCAGCTCTTTCCTCATCTCTCATGTTTTCTTTTTATCGTTCCTTTCTCTTGAACTGCCAGGTAAACAGAGGGTTTCTGTCCATCATGACAGATTTAGTTACCTCTGAGGGAGAGAAATATATATGGATGCTCTGCCAGTTTATTTGCAAATTGCTGCTATGTACAGTGGACCAGTCCTCCCTTGTGGGAGTGCCAGTCATCTTGCAGTGGCCAATCTGATAAAAAAAACAACCTCTAAACAAAACCACATGTGCACTTTATGTAATATAATTGAAGTTGGCCTCACTACACAAAAAAGGAAGGTTAAACTTTTTATGAGCCCCTGTATAGTATTTTGAACCAAACATACAAAACAAAACTGCCTGTGAATGTTTGGGGACAGGAGAGAGCATGCTAATAATTTATATAAACAAGATCTTGAATTTCAAGAAATTTTTAGCGGGCCAAATGATTAAAGAAAAAGAATATATATATATATATATAAAAAAAAAGGGGGGGACGAATCTGGTGAGGCTCAATTGCAGTGGGGGAGCAAACCGTGCCCGGTGCTGAATTCTTGGGAAAGTTATAAAAATACAACACAGTACTATTTTGTAAACTATGGATTGGCCTTAATATGAATTTTGTTTATTTATTTTAATCACCACCAAGTTTTTCTTTAATCCCTCTGATAAAGCACTAGAGAGCAGTTTCAGGAGCTGCCCGGGAGCTGTCACTGGTTCATCGCGTCCAACTAAATGAAAGGGGTCTTATTGTGATGCGCTCTGCCAGTCCTTGTTTTAAGGGCAGAAAGCTTTTGCATTTGGTCGGAGCGGGGCCGGGGTGGGGAGGACGCTCGCCCTCCCGCCTTGATTTCCTTGTCTTCAACTCTTCAGAGGCGTCCACCGAAGGGAAATCACTGCTACGCCGCCTTTTCCGTGCCCGGACCCTGGAAACACCTCGTCCCCGCTCGACATCTCGGCTTGTATTGCATCCTTCCCGGCTGTTTCCTCCTCGGCCCCGCCGGACTCCTCCCAGCTTCTGCTCGGCTCGTCGCCGCCTCTTGCTTTGTTGATGTTTCACTTAGTTTTAATGCGCAGTTCCCAAGATGGAGGCAGCGCTGGGGCCACGCGAGTTGCTCGGGCTGGTGGCAGGGCTCCTACTGCTGCCTCCAAGCCTTTTCGCCCCGGATCCGACAGCCGCCTTCTCCCGGGTGGTGAGCCAGGTAGGCAAGGGAAAGTTTCCTTGAGGGCCTCTGCTCAGGTCTGGCAGGGTTGGCACCGGAGCCCCGAAAATGTGTTTGTGTATGTGTGTGTTGTAGGGCAAGGGGAGAAGAGAAAAGGTCAGGTCTCCCTTCAGAGCCATAGGTGGGGCAGCTGAAGGTGTGATTCAACACCCCGCGTGTGTGAGCATCTGGTCATGGTGGTTTAGAAGAGGGATCTACTAAAGTAGGGACACGCAATGTTGCAATGCTGGTGGCTTTTCTGCCAAGTCCATTTGCAAAACAGTTCTGTAGTACGTGCATGCTCTTTAAAGCAAGTGTTGGGATAACATGCTAAGATTTTTGCAGTTTGCGTAGGGGGATTCTTCCTTATCGGACAAATCACTTTTCGGAATGATTGTGAGTTAATGGTTTTACAAAAAAGTGCTATCGAAGCCTTTTGTACCTGTGTGTGTGTGTGTGTCTTGAATACAATACCCAGCAGCTTGCCCTTTTAGATATATAACTTGCTCCCATATTAGATTTTAATGTATGTAGTAATGCAATTAGATTTTGGGGATTGAGTACTTTATGTAATAAATCTGCTCTTTATGGAAAGAACAAGATGTTCTAAGGAAGTCTTGATGTTCTTGTAAAACATGAATTAAATATTTCAGGTATTGTGGTGCATTTGTTGTCCTGTTGCCTTGGCTAAAGCAGTCACCTGTTATATTTGTCTTAGTTTGAGGTTTAAACATCACAGTAGTGATTTTAGATATCATCATTTCCAAATATTTAATGTGGTTAACTGTCATGATAATGTTAATTGATTAAAAAGCCCACAAACTCTATCACACTCGTATAAAACAATTAAATTTGCTTAATTTTACTTCTGGTTTACCATGGGGTACTTTAATAGGAAAGAATTGCCTTTTTGGAGAGCTGTCAAAACAAAGATTACAGGTCTATATTTACTTAGCTGCGCTAGACCTTGATTATCAGCCCTACTTTTCACATCTGTAGGTTGCTTTTCAAAGCCATATGGGAGGTCCTCTGTATTTTACAGTAGGGCAGAAATATGAGTTTGAGGATCATTTTTTAAAAGCAGAGAACCTCCTTACATCCTTAGTTCTGACCCAGTTTTTTGCCCAGGGTGATTTCCTTCACTACAGAGAAGATGATTATATGCAAGAAAGATGATAATTACATGCAAAAAAGATGATTATTTGCAAGAAATGAAACAGCAGATCATGTTGGCATTCTTTTGCCTCCCTCCCTCCTTCCCTTCCTTCCTTAACCTTCAACCTCAGAGGATGAAGATGTAGAAGTCACTCAGCATAAAAGTAGAGTATACTGAAGGAAGACAATGAAAAACTGCTTCCAGACTGTTGCCAGGAAAAGTACACTGATGTGTTTTGAAAGCATCAGGAGTCGAACTCAATGCTCCACTTCAGTCAACAAACAAGAAACCTTTGTCCCCAGTCTAAATAAAATATTTGTTCTTTAAAATTTACTGTTCATTGGTGTAAATGAAAAGATAGCAACTTTACCCCAGTCTTCAAAAGACTGGCAGGCTTGGGCCTGGTTAATACTTGGATGGGAAACGTCCAGGAAATACCAGAGTTTTAGGCTAGATTGAGACGATTAAAAAATATGCTAAAGGAAGATAATGAAAAACTCTTTCAGACTGTTGCCAAGAAAATGACATGGGTATGTTCTGAAGGCATCAGGAGACAAGCTCATGCTGAACGGATTCCCTTACTTCCACTTCTTCCAATGTATTTGCTTCTTTTCCTTACTGTTTTACTCAAGTTTATTCTTCTAAGCAGGTAGTTATCAGAAGATTTGAGAAGTGGCAGAAGAACAGTAGGTTAGTCTCTCCCTAAAAAGACTGACAGCGAATTCTCTCTTCCCATCTACCATATCTTGTTTGCTTCTAGGCATTGCATTCATTTCCTGCCTGAGTTATTCATTGGTTTTGCAGCAAATGAGAACAAGATCTCTTGTTTCAGATGTGGATGCTTCTGCTGACTAATGACAAATGCAGCTAATTTGCCTTTTCCAAATGTGAAGGCTCTAAATATCTGATTGATTAATTTGATCACAAAACTTCCTGGTATAATTTCTTTTCAGAAGGAAATTATTTTTAGAACAGAACTTCAACCAGTTGTTAATAGGACAAGCTTAAAAATATGGAAAGATAAAAAATATGTGCAGTAAATTGGTTGTTCATGCAATTGTCATGCAAGTCCATTATTGCATAATTCCTGTGTCTTTCTAAATATTTACGCAATATGGACTTTCCCCCCTCTCTGATTTTTTTAAGATGAAATATGCTTCACAGCTGTCACATCTTCTTTGGTCTGTTGAAGTGAGTTGGTCATTTTTTGCATTTGTGTCAGAGAAATCATAGTGTAATCTAATACTCAAAATTATTGTGGGAAAGGCCCAGAGAATTTTGAAATGAAAGATGATTAAATGAACTAAAGAAATACTTCCAAGGAAATACTTCCACCGTGCAATACAATATAGATAGTATATATTTGGCAACGCAAGGGATGCTGGGAAGCCACAAGGGAGAAGAGCTTAATACTCATTGTTCCATAACAATAATATGTAAAAAAAAGAAGATAATGTGGTATTTACTGATTAAGGCAAGAAACTTTAAGATCCAAATTAATTTCTTTGATGTTTATGTTTTGTCTTGTGTATACGTTTTTGTAATTCTCAGAGAAATGTGTTTTGAATTAATAAGATTGCAAGCTGAAATTTTAATAGTGTAAACTACCTATTTAGCAAGTAAGATTGTGTTGCCCTAATATATCCAGCCGCTTGACAAGCATTGGTCATGTTAGAAATTACTTAAAATGTTTATTTTCCTACCAAATAATCAGAATAGAAAAATATACATGTACCGGTATAAGCTAGGAAATACACATAAAATTGCTCACTTAAATTTGATTTCTAGGAATGGAAAACTATATCGGTGCCAATTATAAAGCAATAGACACAACCCTTCTTAAAAATAGATACATTGATGTGAGGAAGAGTTTGGTCTGGCGGTTAAGGCATCAAACTAGTAACCAGGTGACCAGATGTTGTAGTCCCTCCACAGGCAGAAAGCCAACTGGGTGATCTTGAACCAGTTATTTTCTCTCAGTCCTAGGAGTCAATGTCAAACCACTTTTGAAAAACCTTGTCAAAAAAACTGCAGTGACTTGTTTAGGCAGTCTCCAAGAATAAGACTCAGCTGAATGGAAGAAGAAGAAAGGAAAAAAGAATGCCTCATCTTAGGGTTTGGTTCCAGTAGTAAAAACATAGCCTGACTGGAGCTCTGCTCTGGATGTTACCTTTGGCAGGATAGAGGTTGTACTATGGCTGATTATCTTTTTTCTTCCCAACTTCTAGCACCTTATTCCAAAGTTTTATCTTCAAAATAATGCTTTATTTTCCTTGGACTGACAATTCAGATAGAATGAATGATCACATGACTAAGCACACACACACACACACACATGCATACATACTAGTAGGCTCAAGTATTCCACCCTAAAAGGTGATGATCAAAAGCCTTGTATATAAAATGTAGCAATTTGGTTGGGGATAGTCTGAATCATCGTAGTGAAGGATGAGGAGAAAGTTCTGCTTTAACTTTTCTTATGGAATTACTCTGTGCTCAGAATCATCTCCCAAACTACTTTCCATCTTCTGGCTATTGGTCCCCCCCACCCCACTATGGTGGAAAAGGAGTCTAGAGGTTTATGTTTGCAGAAATAGTTTATATAGAAAAGATGAACCAACCCTTTTTCTTAAGATTGCTTCTGCAAGAGTCTCAGTGCTCAATTGTTGGGGGAGATACTGCCAATTTGGATCATAAAAGGGGGAGAGGCGAAATGAAGAAAGATGGAGAGATATAGTCTGTGCCACACTGAGTATTGAGATAATAAGTGTCTTTGGAGTCACTGTGTGAGAAGTTGATAGCTGGAGAGAGATGTCACTTTGAGTGTGCTGGAGCATTGGAAACGGGCACTGTCCATTTTCTGGCCCTAGAAGGATGAAGATGTTAGTTACAGAAGACAGGAAGAAGAAATATAAAAAAAACACAGAGAGGAATGTGTTTTATCCCAAACCCAAGGTAGATGGAGGCAGAGGCAAATGACTTTCTGAAAAGAAGGACACCTGGAAGAAGCCTCAGACCAGGATACGTTGGACAGAAGACCCAGTGGGAGATGTATCATGCACAATGCAAGGTGATGACTGTCAAGATCTGAAAAAGCTGGGAGAAACACCTTAAATGCACAGCAAAGTAAAGCAGCTAATTCTCCCTTTCTCTCTCTCCTTGAAAAGCTGTGAGAGAGGGAGAAGGGAAAAGAAGGGAGTTGGCAGCTAAATAGTGAGGTGAATGTTTGCTAGCAAATACTTGTGGAAAGCAGAAAGAGAAAATTTAAGATTTTCGAGAAACAGGAGAGAGGAAGAAACGGGGAAGTTTGGACACAGTGCTGTAAATAGTTCTGTTTTTCCCAATTCCTATAAAATATATTTACACATACTTAAAAAAAGTACCTTTTCCATGGTCTTGGTCTTTGGGAGCAGCTGTTCTACTTAGTCATGCACACACAAAACCATAAAAGTACATAAAATTACAGTCAGTCATACTATGGCTGCTCCTCCAAAATATAAACCTGTACATTTGTTCCCTTGGTTATCCACGGTATTCTTGGGAGTCTCCCCCGTGCATCAATATTCAAGTGTCAGAATTCTTGCTAGCCTGCTTCTTCAAATTCCAAGTTCCATAGAATATCATAGAGGAAACTATTGACTGCATGATTCTGTTTTTTTTTAATTATCCAATATGCATCAGCTTTGTGGCGAAGGTTGTCGAGAGTGTGGTTGCACAGCAATTCCCTCGGCACCTGGAGGAAACAGTCTATCTGGACCCGCTCCAGTCGGGCTTCAGGCCGGGATACAGCACGGAAACGGCATTGGTCACGTTGGTAAATGATCTCTGGAGGGCCTGGGACAGGGGTCATTCCTCTGTCCTTGTTCTTTTGGACCTCTCAGCGGCTTTTGATACCGTGGACCACGGTATCATGCTGCGACGTTTGGGTGAGTTAGGAGTGGGAGGCACTGTTATGCGGTGGTTCTCCTCCTTCCTCACCGACCATACGCAGTCTGTATTGGCAGGGGGACAGAGGTCGACCCCAAGGCCCCTAAC